AATTACTTCCCATAATCCTAATCAACTAAATCCGTCTGCTGATTGCTGCCGTTTCTGCAGGGACAAATAGGAATGTTTGGAATCAATACGACCACTGTTGGCCTACCTGTAGGATTGTTGGGGTAACAGCTAATAGCACCAAGCTGACAGGCTGTAGAGGGTTGATAAGCATTTCTCATTACTGAACCCCATTCACATAGCTGGCTGCCACACACACGTATAACACGTACACACACAAACACACACAGGCTCTCACAGAGAAATAGATGTCCTCCAAACCATATTCACATCACTGTAACAATAGATATAAATAAATAAAAAAAATCATTGGTGTGTGCATCTATTGACTATGCATGTGTGTGACAAAAGAGAAAGCATCTGGAACGCTACAAACCGACACCTAGGGATGGACAAAATAACAGAAAAGCCTCACTATACAATAGGTTTGCAGTAAATACCAGTTCGACAAAGCTCATAATCGCTTTTTGTTGTAGTAGCTGTCAGACGTTTAGGCTTAACTCGGTGGTCATTTTTAAGGCCATAATTTGTTATCAAACAAATACTCCATTCAGTGACCATCAGTCAATGCTGGAATACTCTGACAACTTTGCGAGTTGCCACGAGCGAATGCAGCATGTGTTTGGTGTACATCTTCATGATTTTTGAGAGTTTACTTTCGCCATATTGTACACAATGTGCAGTGTTTATGGCTGATGCACCAGAGAGTCATGAAGTGTAAATCACAAATAAAAATACAGATACACAAGTATCTCAGCTTTAAGAGGAGAGGTGGTATTAAATACCTTGCCACCCCAGGTGCAACCCCAGTTTGGTGTCAGATACTGACAAATTTAACACATTAATTTAGATTAATTTTAAAGTTTGGAAAAAAATACATTTAATCTATCGATATGTTATGGCCACACTTTAGACTAAATGAAGAAATACTTTGATTGAACTTAGATAAAAGACTTTTTACAGGAAATGCAATAATTTATTGATTTCTGTCACCTTTATATATTCCTCTTCAGTGCTTTACTAATGTGCCACCATAATGTAATGTTTTTTCAGTCAAAATATCTTTTTGCTTTTCCAAGCAAATATTGATATATGTGAGTGTTTCCGAATAAATCAGCATATATTGCTGCCACCCCTTAAATTCTCCATGCTGCCTTCCTGTCACCCCATTAATATTTCTCTAGAACCACATGTTTAAGAGGTCTGACAAGCTTGCATATGGCAAAACGTACTGGAATATTTGGACAAGGGAAGAACCAGTATTACTTTTCTCTCACATGCAGTAACTAATTGTAAACTCATAGTATTACCAGTGTCAGCACTGATACAGGGTGATAATGTTCCCCTTTTTCTTTTCCAAATTAAAATCTGTATTCCTCACTAGCCTGGTCCCAGACCTCGAACCGCTCACATCTCTGATTTGTTCAGGGATTCATGGTCATTCAAGGTGATTTCAGTCTTTTAAAGGCAGACATGATTTGTCCTTGTTTATTCAATTCTTGTGTCCCAGATATAAGTCATAACAGTGTGACAGCCAGCATGCACAATACCAGAACCCTAAAACTGAAGCAGATAACTGGAATTCAGCCATCTTCATTCTTTACACCTGTGCTTTTCCTAATGTGACATTTCCAATATTAAAATTTCATTTTGTGTAAGGAAAGCTATTTAAAACATAAAGTGCGGTTTTAATGACACATAACTAAAAGTGGACATATAAATTCATTTTCTGCTTATTAATATTAATTTCATTGTGGTACAGTGGTTTCCAACATTTGGGTTGGGACCCCTTTAAGGTGTTGCAAGACACATTTGCAAAATGATTAATGGGACAGGAAAGAAGAATAATTTAGTTCTGCTACGACGACCACTACGTAAAAATATTTTTTTATTTATATATAATTTATTTAATATTTTTATTTTTATGTATTTGGGTTTTTGTCTGGTTTTCTTACTGGTTTGCTGTGGGCGGGGCTCTGTTAGACCAATCATAATTTAGCAATATTTGAATCAAAATATGATGAAGGTTGTTGGGTTGTATGCTTAAGTTGCCACAGTCAGTTAAATCAAATAAAGCCACACTAACACAGTTCTAATGAAGACAGTTAGCTGACTCTTGGAATGATAAACTTTTAATAAATAATAAATACAATTTTCTTTTTCAAACTAACTCTCATTGTTGCTAGTTTAGTCACACATATGTAATAAATAGGTTATAATGCAATGTTTAGGTTTTTTAACAACATATTCTAGTGCTTTAATGGTTATTTCAACCACATTTTAGTTGGTGAAAGTCGACCTGGAGTCCTTAAAAAGCTCTGACGCTCAACAATTTGAGCCTGGACATTTTGCACTGTGAGGGAAACGGCTACAGTTGTGAGGGGGTTGAGGCCATTGTTCGGGTAAAGTGAGACAAATGAGACCCTGGAGAGCACTACTTAGCCACTCATAAAGGTCAGATATGGAGCAACACCAATGGATGCTAATCCTGACCCCGGGGACCGTGTGCACATGCGCCTGTGGATGCAATTGTTTCACAGGCCTGTGACATTTAAACCTGAATAAGTGTACAATCCTGGGTGGCAGAACAGTGCGTACATGTTTGTATGCCTATTTGGCTGGAAAGCGCTGGGCTTTAGTTCCCACTGAGGTTTAATTAGACATGGCCTTGGGGGCAATTAAAACATCAGAGTCTGATTTTTCATGTAAACATCACCGGGTGGTCGGTATTGTAAATATTCTCTTGATTATGCCGTTCCTGGTTAAACATGTAAAAAGCTTCTACAATATACTTTTTATGAAATAAATTAAACATCTCATAACCATCATTTGTTATGCATTTTGCAAAAAAACATTAAGCAATCATAAAAAATGCCTTTGCAGCCGTAGAAAATGATGTTTTTATTATGTTTAAGACATAAGGATTTCACCTGCCAGCAGATATGTCACCACTGTGATATCATTATGAGCCAACACTGTACATTAGCCATTATGTAGGCTAGTCAGTCACACAGTCTAATTGGTATTGTACTAATAACACACTGGCAGGCTGAAAACATCCAGTCCTTTCCCCTTGTGCTGGAGCTATAGGCTTGTCAGCAGGTCACACTGATTGGGGCACCTGAGAGTCAGTGGCAATGCAATTTGTGAGTTTTAGCTGAATATAGTGGAGATAACGACGGGTGGGTCACAGCAACAGTTCAAGTGTAATGAGCAGAGAGAAATTCACAGTCCTGTTAATGCATGTGTGCGTTTTGTGTACGTGACAGAGACAGAAAACTGTGGAAGTCGTGATTAATGCCTTTACTCAAATGACAGCACTGTGGTTTTACTAAATTCTAATAAAATACTAAAATACTAAATTCAGTTTTGATGTGTCTACACAAAGTCTACAAACAAAGCCAAGTTCTCCTGGTAATATCTTCTAAAGACTAATCACTAAACTGTTCGTGACCTTTGCAGAAAGGCTCAGTGGACGCAGAGGAGAGACCCGGGATAATTCTACAGAAATGTGAGAACATACTCTTAAGACCTGTGCAAACACTGAAAAAAACAACACAGAAAGCAGCTCTCATATTTGGTTGGTCCGCCAGTCTAATCTAGAATAAACATAGATATTTGTGGTCCCCAGAGGATAAATCATACTAACTTTGGTGAGCCGCTGATTTTTCCTCTTGTGCCACCGTGAGGTTAACACTTGTATGTTGGTGTGAAATGTCTTAACTACTGGATGGATTGCTATGAAATCACAGACATACAGAAAATGTCCCCTTCAGGATGAACTGTAATAACTTTGGTGATCCCCTAACAGGCATCTGGTCACAATTTAACTTTTGTCCTTACTTTATTTTTTTAATACTTGAGCTTTTACCAAATAGTGAATGTTAGCATGCTAACAGGCTAAACTAAAATGCTGAACTTGGTAAACCTTATACTTGTAGACATAAGCATGTTAGCGTGCAGTTAGCAATAAGCAAAAGTATAGCTGTGCAGTCTTGCTACTGGACTGATTTCTTTTGATTTCTTTCTGAAAGATAAAGACTGTCCTGGAAGTTTCTCATGTTCACAAACATCTTGTTAACAATAAAACATGAATAACTTTATTGAGGCAAAATATTTAACCCCCTTTACCCTGGAAAATGTTGTTTTGTTTGTAGTGTTTACTGCTTCAGTTAATCACTTTTCTGTCGTCATATACGATACACCATCGATGAAATGATATAAAGCCTATTCTGTTCACACTTACAACCAGCTCCAAGTCATTTAGAAAATGATTTAAAGCTATTTATACCAGAAGGTTATGTAGAAAATGAGTAGATTGCATCAAATATGTGATAAATTATGCATCCATAAGCAATAACTGTAGTACACCTGCCACACAGATGTCCGTGTCTCTACAAAATGAGGGATTAACTCCATCTTGTGGTGCAGAGAAGAACTGCCTGTTTAGGGCATAACACAATGTCAAACAGGGCATTACACCACATGTGAGATGATGCAAAGTCACTGAGTAGCAAACGTTGTACCTATATTTTGTTTTAGTTAGTTTTGACCCTTCTTTCTCCTCTTCTATAGTTATGTACCACATTATATCTCAATATTAATACAGACAACTCCGAGTATGATTACAGAATCACAATATATGATACAGTATACCCTGATTTTTATAGTATTTTTTCTCTTTCACTTTGCTGAGACAGTTCAAGTACAACACTAGTTGTGGGTAGCATATCTGTACTGCTATTTCCTGTAATTTTGCCTTTTGTGGCTAATTGCTCTTTAGTTTCTTTCTGTATTATTTTCTTATTTTATGCACATTTAATTACTTATTCTATTTAAATTTCTCAACTTATCTGTACATATTCTGTCCTTCTGCTGTAACACACAAACCTCCCTCTTGGTCCCTCTTGGGGACCAATAAAGGGTTGTTTCAATCACTGAAGCATAACGCACCATAAAATAAGTGAAGGATATGAGGCAAAAGCAGTCAAACACACAGGTAGCTTTAATCCAGGGACTGCTTTAGGAAATAACAGTTACAAAAAAATGTAACACACCAGTAAACCTGAACAAAATGTTTTTTTGTTTGTAGTAAAAAAAAATTAAAAATCCAATTCAGCATTAAAAAACTGATGGCAGCAGATAGTAAAGTTACGCTGCAGAATGGTGACATGTACAGTTCAATAAAAATCACTGCTATTTAAACATGGACATCTTAACAAAGTCAGAACAAAAGCATCAAAGATGAATTTAAAAAAAGACATTAAATTATATTTGGATTTCCGTTTGTCTCTTGCCAACCTCATTTTTTTGTCCAGTCATGTTATCAGTTGTGAAAGAAAATCATCAAAATCATGGCTTCAAAGCCTTCCTATTTAAAACAAAAGCACTACAATATAAAAGCAACTTAAGATGTTTTTGTCATTTTAAATCTAACTCACCAACTGTCAATCAGTTTCTCTAAATGTGAGCTCTTACTCCGCGTCACCTTCAGCCTTATCGACCTCTTTGTCGTCCTGGGGCGCAGTTTTGTCACCGTCTTCTTCTCCTTTCTCCTCTTCTTTGTTTGTCTCCTCTGCATCGTGTTTCTCCTTCTCCTCAGCTGTATTTGAATCTGTCTTTGCTGTGGTCACATCAGGCTTTGGTGTGTCCTCTTTTACTACTTCCTGGACATTGTACTTCCTGTACAGTGTATAGTCTTTTACCACACTGAGGCAACACACGGCCTTGATGACCTCCACAATGATTGTCAGATCTGGGTTGGTCAAATCAACCTTGTTCTTAGGGTTAAGCTTCCCCACTAGACCTGCAATGGTCAAAAAGGACGAGTCAGTTTTGTTTCACTTTCAAAAAAAGGTTAAATCCATATTAGCAACAAATTCATCTAAAGTCCAGAACTACCTGCGACTGATTTGATGATTTCATCCCTCTTGTTGTGGCTGCTGTTGCGGGCCTTGAAGGCGATCTGGTAGGTAGCGCAGTTTGGAGTTTTGAACCAGGGCTCCAGGAAAGTGGTCAGGTACTTCACCATGTCATCCTGGAAGGCCTTGCATGTTCCAGTTACCTGGATAAGACGAAAAACAAAAGGTTGAGACACTGCGGACAAATTATTTTAGTCTTGATATATTCAAATAATTTAGATTGTATTGAAAGGGATTAACAATGAGGAACTGCTGCACACTGCCTCACTTTCTGCTGAAAATATATTAATTTAGATATTACGAAAGGAATTAAACAACTGCACCTCATTCCAATAAACATAACAGACACAATAATGACTGAGGCAGTGTGTGCCTAAAAGTTGTGTTTTAGATACATACACCATTACAAGTGTCTACTTTGTAAAAACAGAAGCCTTTTTAAACTTGAAACATCTTTCTGCACTGCATCTGTTCAATCACACGTATCACATTAAACACAGTTGAGTTGATTGATGTGATTTTAGATTCTCACCGGCAGCATCCGAAGTATCACGCGTGACTTTTTCTTCTTGGTGGTGTGGAGATCAGACAAGATGTGATGGACCAGCTTGTCAGATTCTAGGAGAGGAAAACAAACAAAATTGTAGCTACAATAAAACTAAAGGCCAAAAATAAATCTCATCAATGACGCGTTCCATCAAAAAGGACTTACCCAGATTGTGAGTTTTGATGAAGATGACATTGTTTGCGCCACTATCCATGGCCTGGAAGCGTCTCTCCTGTTTAGCTCCAGATGCTTGCAGCTGTGCCACTTCCTTCTTTAGAGCTACATCAACATCTTCTTCTTCAGCGTCCTCTTCATCACTGCTGCTCCCATTATTGTCTTGGAACTGTGATCATGAGACCGGCGCTTTGTTAACACCATATTATGTACTGGAAAAATGTCCCCTTACAGTTGGATTGTATGGGGACGTCATTCAAATCACTTTTTAGTCAAATCATCAGTTCAAAATCTAAAGATATTCAACATAAAACAAGCAATTCCTCACATTGGATAAGGTGAAACCAGCAAGATTTGGACAATTACCTTTTACTATTTAATCGATTATCCAAACTATAGTCAGTAATTGTAAAACATAAACAATATATTGTACTATACCAGGTTGTCATATTTGAGTAAATTCATAATTAGTGGCTTAAAACTAAAATACAAGTAGTGAGTACTGACAAAGACACCATCTTGAGGTTTAGTTCAAATCCATTATCATGGACATGAGCATAATGAAATGTCTTTGCCGTGGCAAACAAATTAAAATGCAAATTGTATTACTGAATTCTCATTTTTACTCAAATAACATATGAGGAACACTATAATGTGGAACTTCCAAGTTTACATTATGATTTTAATAAAGTCCCCTATAGGCCTCCATATCCATGCAATACACCAAATAATTCAATACATTAAAATAAGGAGTAAAGTCTCCACAGCTCTGCACTTCACTCAACTTGCACAGTAACTTATAAACAGCACTCACATAAAGGTAGCAGGGGCCTTCTCTCTCTCTCTCTCTCTCTCTCTCTCCCTCCCTCTCTATCAGGGTATAACTCATCAATTAAAGTGCTCTCCTCACCTTCTCGGGCCCGTAGAGCTTGTCGGCGTACTCATTGAGCAGATTGAAGGCCTCCGCTGTGCACTTCCTCTCGTTCATGTTGCATGTGATGAGGATCCCCTGCATGCCCACCTCCAGCTCCCGGGAGCCCTTCCACCGCTTGTTGTGGCCGCCCACGTACCGCTTCTTGCCGCGTTTCCTCGAGTCGTTTGCCGACATGTTGAAGCGGATAATGTGTTATACCTTTCTTTCCTTGTTTTGGTTACTACCTTCACTCCTCCTCCTCTTCCTCCCTCTTGGCTTTATTAGCCTTTAGCTCAGCAGCTGATACTAACACAGTTGGTCGGAGGGTTTTAAAGCTGCAGCGACTACAATGTAAAAAGCCATGAGAAGTTTTGCAGGACAGACACAACGACCGCTTGAACACGAGTCCAGGTACAAACTGCAGCTGCTGCAACGGACGGAGGCTCATTCAGTCACAACACAGCACGTTTTTTGGTTGTCCTGTACGGCGAGTGAGGAGGGACAAATCCCGCGAAGCAGTGTGTCGCCTTTGGATGCAGTGGCTAGTGAGTGTATAAAAGCTGCACTATATTATATATTTGGATTATTAATGTGAAATATGAATCACTTAATGTGGTTTATTAGTGGAGATGCTTTATACCTATTTTATACTTTTTATTATTATTGTTCTGTATGTTTTTCAGGGCTTAACTACTCCCTCATACTTCATGCTACAGACACCATTCAATTATCAAAATGTTCAGATCTTTGAGGACATTGGTGCTTGTGTATAGAACTTTTTTCTATCTTTTATACTTTTTGAAATATTAAGCTTTATTTTTTTTTAAAAGCCATTGAAATGAATGGAGAAAGCTTCAAATCCTCGTCAGACTTGATCTACTTTGAAATGCTACTCCTTCCACATACTTTGAGCTACAGACTTAATTTAAACTTTAAAATGTCCATGAGACCTCGGACTATTTAACTTGTATTCAACTTTTTAAAATACTTTTATATTTTTTGAATTATTGCTGTTCAAACTTTATGCTTTTTTTCTGTCAGCATCCCCACTGCAACAGTAAATGCATTTTCTGATTATATAATATTATTATAGGTCAAACTACCCGCATATGAAGCAATTACAATTAAGTGAGGAACACATTCATGTATCAATAATTATAATCCAGTAATATGATTCTGAAATTGAACCTTCTGTACAATAAGTACTTTAAGTTTTGATACTTTAAGTATATTTTGATGCAAATAATTTTACTTCAGTAAGACTTTGAAAAAATACTACTATAACTATTTATTTTTACACTGTAGTTTCTACTTTTACATACTTCTTCCACCAATGATACAAACAACAATCAAGCCAAAACCAAGAGCAAAATTAAGATTAACATGTGAAATAAACTCACTTTGTTTTTCATTTAATTTGATAACGTATTCAAAATATTATATTTACTGTACAATACATAGAAAATGAAGTGTATTATTAGTGTACATTATTGGTGGATTTTTTTCTTCTTCAAATAAATTATTTCATGAGTTAGAGTCAATATTCATGTTTATGCTCATTACACTTTTATGTCCTAAAACATCTAAAACAGCCAAACATATTCAATTTATAGGGATTTGAAACACAGAAAAGCAGTGAATTAGATTTTTGGGGACATTTTAACTTGATAAAAGCCAATTAATTGTCCAAACTAGAATGAATAAATTAAATTGAGCATTAACTATGCCAGTAAAATTGATTTGTACTGCTGTATGTAGTTCATAAAAGGAGCTCTCCCCTATGATTGTAAAATGTAAAAAAGGATAAACAAGTTAAACACAATAAAGATGTTTGCACTGATATCACATCACAAAGCCAAACACAAACACACCACATCAGCTTTCTTTGTCCAACGAGTTAATAGCTCTTTCTTATCATTGACCTCTGGGGTGGACGACAGCTTAGAGTCGAGTTGATCTGACAGAGTGAGACGGAGGAGCCGGCAGCAGGAGAGGCCACTGAACTGCTCTTCATCAGAGCTGACTCCCATTTGAAGAACTCGCATCCCTTCTGTATCGTCCCTCCACTGCCCGACCGGCGGACCGGACAGCAATAAAACCCTCGGCCGTGGTTCGGCCCACCGTTGGACACCACCTGCCGCTTTGCACGACGCCCACACGCACACAGTGGGGATGTGACCCTCTGTCCTCCTTTCATTGCCACAGAAACGGAGGAACCATTGGTACGTGAGGAGAGCGTGTTGGTCGACAAAGAGGAGAGGACATTCTTTGAGGGGCAGAAGGAGCCACATGAGGAGGGACGGGAGGGTTTTGCTGGGTCAGTGTAGATGGTAAAGGAAGATTTTGGAGTCTCTTCGTGCTTTGTGTGTTGTGCGATGACTGTTTTGGGCCTGAAAAATGAGGTAATAGAGGTAATAGGGGTGGAGGTCTTTTCTGGGATGAATGGTTTGTGCCTGAATGGAAAGGGTGTGTTTGTTTCAGAGTTTTTATGGGGCCCATCAGACTTTTCTTGTACTTGAAGGGAGTGTTTAAGTCCTGTTTTGTGCTGATTTGAGTCCCGAGAAACAGTTTTAGGCACCGCAAAATAAGTACTTGGCTCTGAGATTGTTGAATGCTGCCTGATTTCATTTAAGCGATGAGACACATTAACGTAGGATCTCATACTCTTTGTAGATAGAGACGTCATTATTGACTCACTGGTCATCTTTTGAGTTTCAAAGTTATTTTCAACGCCCACTGTTTCTCGTAAATTGTCCCTTAATGTGACCTGACCTTCTGTTGAATGTGTGTTATCAGGCTCTTCCCACACATGACATCCGCTGTCATAATCACAGATATCATCATCTCCCTCCAACACCACATCATCATATGAACCGCACCTGTCCTCTGTTTCCACTAATAGGTCGGCACCTTCCTCCTCCTCCTCCCTGAGTCCTACTGCTGCTCCTGTTCTTGAGGGCTGGTTTGGCTGTGGCAGATATGAAAGGCAGCCCACAGTAGTAGAACACAGAACAAGGCTGCTGTTGTTGCTCTCTCTGTTTGTTGCCTGATCATTTCTCATTACCAAAGAGGAAGTTTTAGTGGCAGCCTCTGCTGTAACAGCCCTGCTGCTGCGTCCCCATTGTGCCGTTGTACCATTCAGCAGTGTCTTTGGTGAGATGATGCTTTGGCAGATTTGAGCAGATTCCTGAGCTGAACTTGAGTTCCCCTTTGTGTCTAATTCTCCTTTATTTAACTCTGAACATGATTTTATCTGACATGCTTTGAGAGGAATCTTGAATAATGAGGGTTTGTTTGTGGTAAGTGTGACTTCTTCTTTATCAGTGTTGGATTTTTCCTTCTTGTTGTCTGCAGCTGTGTTTCCAAACATGGGTTTGATCGTTAATGGGGTCTAGAAAAAGAAGATAAGATAAGAGATATAATCAATAACTCGTAAAATATCACACATTCCTGATATTATTAAACTGTATTGTGAAATCAATTCTGTAAGCACGTATTAGTTCTAGGTTCTATAATCCCATTAAGCTGCATGTTTCCCTCCCTGTCTCTCTTTAGTGTCCAGAAAGATTTCAGATTTTACACAGTACCAAGCAGAAAAGTAAAACTGGAGTAAAGTATAATGATTGATGTATGATTATCAGTGTTTAGGATATTGCAACAGTCCAGTTATATATTTGTTTATTTATATAAGAAAGCAACAACAAACAAGTTCATTAAATTCTACATGTAGGATCTTTCTCAACCAATGAATCCATGAAGACTTCCATAGCGTCAGCATCCAGAAAAGGTTTTGCTTGTGGAGACAGAAGGGGGCCGGGGATTTAGGAGTTGGGATGCATCGTTGGACGATGGCCACTCACCCTCACCAGACTCCTCGTGATCTTCATCACACAACCATCCCTCATCATCCTCGCCGCCAGCTGAGCTGTATTTCGTGCGTCATCCAAACCTGAGGAAAGAGAGTAAACAAGACACACAGCATTAGATTAGAAGTCTTTACTTTTAGATTAAGATTTATTTTGGCCAAATAAATGTAGTTTTTTTTATACCAGAATGTTCTCTCCCTGAAAACTGTATTCCTAGATCTTGTAATGCTCCGTTTAGGCCTTTGGGTTTCCTGTCATAAAACAGCTAAAAATAGGTCACTTGATTAGTTAATTGACAGAAAGTTTTATCAATAAGTATATTGTAAGTATAACAGATTATGTTTGGGTTTTTGGACTGTTAGTCAGACAAAAAGCAAATCAAATACCTAACTTTGAGCTCTGGTTAAGTTACCATAGGAATTTATCATAACTGACTCAAGTGTTAACTTTTACAGTCTAAACAATCAAACATCTGCTGCACTAAACAATTGCTAGGTACAGCCATAAGCATGAAAGAGAACAGAGGTGTAAAGACAAAGCTTTCACTTACCCTGTAGGTGCTTCTCAGGTCTATCCAGCTGTTGAGCACATCAGGTTTATGGAGCTGCTTGCGTTTACACTCGTATTGCAAACAAACTCCGAGATCCCAGTCTGATACGCAACGCAGACGGAGGCACATTTAAATTAACAATGCGTTTTAGCTACATTACTCCTCTAGTAAAAAAATAAACATACAAAACCCAACAAGGTGAAAATAAACCATGTTATTGTGTATTTTCATTGCACATAATATAAGAGAGCCAGAAAATTCTGTGTTCTTGAACAACATTTGTAATGTTTGAAGATAAAAATATAATTCTGGTTGATGTTTAGTGTTTAGTAATATCCTTACTAACTGAGGCAGAGACCAATCGTAATGATAACTGAAGGCAATCTTAAGATTTGACTTATCGAGTTGACTTTTACCTGACCACGTGAGGAAGGTACACAATTTCTGAGAAGGTGAAGGTGCAGAAGATATCTGTTGTCTGTTGGGAAAGACCACACCCATATTGAGCTGCAGGTTTTGTAGCCAGCGGATGAACCGTGAAAGACAGATCTGGAGGGGAATCCCTGCCTCAACTTGCATCTGTGAAACAAAGCGGTCAGATTATAATGTAAAACGACATACAGTACACAGCACCAGTTTATGTTATGATGTTTGTAGCAGTGTATTTATGCCTGTACACAGTCACCTGCGTAATCCCGGTCAGCTCAGTGCAGAACTCGGAGAGAACGGGGTGTTCTTGGGGTTGAACATAAGTGTGAAACTCGGACTCAACCTCCCCCGTGGACGTGTTCAGCAGAACAGCAGGAAACTCAACTGCAGAAGGAAGACAGGAGGTGTTATCAGCAATACAAAGGGTGAAAAAGAAGAAAATGTCCACACGTAACATATACATAAAGCTACTTACTAACTTCCTGGGTGTAGTTGTTTTTCTCTCTCCAGCAAGTGGACTCAAAATCAATCACGATCAGGTATGAAAATGTTTGATCTGAGAGAAAACAGACTGTATTAAACAAGTGAATGATGTATGGAAGCCTTTTTATAGATCTCCTGTTTGTTTCCTCATATGTTGTCTCTCTTGTAATTTATTCTTT